ACCAAATGAAAAGGGGGATTTTGTTTGCGAGATCTGGCATTTTGAAATACTTAGAAATGAATTCCTCCAGACAGAATCGATTTAGTTCCGTTGGTCCACACCTGCTCCTAACCAGCTGTGTGGGTTTTGTTGCAAAGTAGACTTCCTGGTATTGTAAAAGGGCTGTGCCCTGTGCAGGTGGCTGACAGTAGCAGGGAGCTGAAGAGAAGGGGTATCTTGAGAGTGGATACCTTTGTGTCACAGTTGTTATGTAGCACAGGGAAAATAAGTATTAATGGGACGTTGTATGCCGTAATCCAAGCATTATTACATTTGAGGTAATAAATCTCTTATGATTGAAATATTGTATAATGATAGAACTCTAATGTTGACTTAGAAACCTTACTGCCTTAGGGATTCACAGCTTTATTAGTGGTCTTGAAAAAAAAAGTTCATTGAAATACTCAGGTTTTTATAGGGGTACAAGTGAATCTTTCTAAGAGTAGAATGTGAATGTTTTAAAACAATAACTGAGAAAATGACATGAAGGCTGTGTTGACCAGTTTGATGGAAGTATTTCAGATTGCATGTAAAAACCCCAGAAGTGCATTAATGTACATAGTTACCATTCAATTAAAAAAAAAAAAGAAATACTCATGTTTTTTATGGCTGAATAGTATCCCATGGTGTACCTATACCACAGTTTGTTAATCCATTCCTAAATTGATGGGCATTTGGGTTGTTTTCACATCTTGGTGATTGTAAATTGAGCTGTGATAAATAATCGAGTACACGTGTCCTTATGATAAAATGATTTTCTTTTCTTCTGGGTAGACGCCCAGTAGTGGAAGTGTGAGGTCCAATAGGAGATCTAATGTTAGTTCCTTGAGGATTCTCTTTACTTTTTTCCAAAGAGGCTGCGTTCTCATCTTTTGTATTAATGTGATGGGGTTGAAACACATGCTTAGTAAAGTATCACAAGAGTGGAAAAGCAAAGATCCAACGTACTCAATACTAACATGAAACCAGTAGACCATCTAATTCATGCCCACATAGGAGAAAAACTCATTTCAATTCAAGTTGGGGGGAAAGGGGAACAAAGGAGGGAAGAGAGGGGAGAGGGCATTTGGGGTGCTCCCACTGAATGGGCACAATGTAGGAGTATATGGCACACCTTTCGGGTGCAGGATGTAGCTACAAGAGAGACTCTACCTAACAAATTCAAATATTGTGATTTGGTCGTTGGTACCTTCACATTAACCTGAATTAAAAAAAAAAAGAAATGCTCATTGTTATGGTCCATAACTCATTGATAGAGTTGATAACATTTCTGAGGCTAGAAGATCAGTTTCAACAGGGTTGAAATATATGTGTGGTAAATTTTTCTTGATAAATGTCCCAGTCCAGAGGTCAGTTAAGCATGCTTCTAGGAATTTTGTTAGGGGTGAAGGCTGGTTGTTTACTGATGGTTGCACACAACTTTACATTCTTCAAAAGAAGCAAATAAGGAATAAAATATAATGGTGAAAAGATAATCTTCCTGATTTCAAAAACAGTAGGTTCCTGAGATCTGTGTTATGAGTGTAACCTGCAGATTTCACGTACACAGTTAATCTGTTTTTAAAAAATGATAGAGACTGGGGAGATAAAGTTCAAATTCACAACTTTTTTCTTTATTAATGGAATTAATAACTGTGTTGTTGAAAACAGTCTAATACTTGGTCGCCCTGCCTCAGTGAGTCAATGCAGACATTCTGGATTGACTTAAACAGCTGGAAGGAAGAATATGTTTTGGGAAATAAAATCGATTTTATACAATCTGCTGATGAACAAAAAGCCTTAATGAATGATGCCTCAAGAAACCTCATTACAGTAGCTTGGATGAAAGAACAGGAAAGGGAAGCAAATTTTTCAGGAGAAAAGTTTCTGCTTCAGCATGTAATTTTATAGATTAGTCTTATCCCCATCCCCCAAAGTTTTCTGCAGAAGAGAGAACACACACACCTGTGTTCCAATGCTCTTGGTGAGCTTTTAGGAATAATTTTCTTTTCCTAATTCGCTTTTTCCTTAATTGGCTTATCCTTCTTATCTGCTCCTCTTCCCGTTTTTTAAACTTTTAAGTTTGAAGTAATCATAGATTTGCAGGTTAAATTCACGGGAGATTCCAAAGACCTGTCCAGGGGAGGTCTCAGGCCTCCTTGATCCAGCGTTTTGCAATGTTAACATCTTGCCTACCTGTAGTTCTATATAAAAATTGGAGTTACTCCTGTTACAAAAATGGAGTCCTGTAGAGAATATGTAAATTATACGCCTCTGTAGGGAAGGAACTAAATCTGATTTTTGTTAAGGCAACTCTTGTGATATCTATGTTTATGGTAAGTATGTACTGAACCCACATTGAAAAAATTATATGTAGTTTTTAGTATGGCTATGTTCTCTTTTTTCCTTAAGGCGAGATTTTGTCAAGGAGACATGTATAACAATTAAGAGAATATTTACTTCTAAGCCCTCTGCATGGAAGACAATACATCTCACTTTGAAAGCTTTGTAGTCAAGAATAATCCCAAAGTCTTTCCTACCTCCCTAAATACTTCCTTTAATACACACTGTGGAGGGTTGTACCTAGGAAAGTTTATATAGAAAATAGGTGTTTATACCGTCAACATTTTTGGTGGTAATGAAGAATTCTGTGCCTTTTAAGTGTTAGAAAAGGCTGTTGATAAAAGCTTATAATTTGAAGTGCAGTGAATTCTTTGATGCTAGAATTGTATGTTTTTTTTTAAATCTCATCCTGATAAAAAACAATAAAGGTGTTTAGGCTCTTTTTTGTTTTGTAAAGGATGTTTTGTTTTTGTTTCTGCCTTTTTCCTTATTCCTTTTATCTCTTCCTTTGCTTTCTTGTCTGTATTGGTAGGTCTCTAACACAACAGCCTATGCCCGGGCTTAGCCTCAAGGTGCTCTGTATGTCCCTGGGGTACAGAACGTAGCTGGAGATGTGGATACAGCCACCCAGGGGGAGATGGCTATCACGAGCATCTCATTACGGTGTCCGATAGGAAAATCATGCGTCACCACTCATCACTACTCATTAGTTGACAGAATCCCACCTGAAGTTTATTCCCCAGATTTATTCATTTATTCTGTGTATAAGGTTTCTCTCAACTCAGAGAATCTGAACTTATGTCATTGAATTTCTTTCTTTCTCTTGATATTATCTAAAAGACGTAAAAAAATAGAGGATGTAAAATCTGTGCAGTTTAGTCAAGGAAGAATAAATCGGTTCGTACAAGGTCCCTTCTCTCAGTATCTGTGCAGTCGTATTAAATCTGTGGTGTTACAGAGTAGTCTGGTCTTTCAGAGATTTGATCATTTACACAATTGTAAAATGACACCCACCCCGTGAAGCACAAAGGTTTATGGTTTCATTTTCTTAGGTAGGGTGAATTATTTTGATGAAATCTCATCTCTTTCGCACAGCAATGGATTATTATTGAGCAGAACTATACACATTTGAGTAAGTGGGCTTTGCTAAACCCTGTGCAACCTTAAAAAATGTGTCACTGTTTATTATTTTCAAGTCACAGTGGTGAACCTTAGTTTTAAAAAACCTCTTTTTGCAAACATATGTAGTATAAAAAGTATATATGAGAAGCACTCTGACAGCAGACTAGCTCCTGTGAATTGCTTCCATAGGTTCAATACTCTTGTCTCTGAAAGTTGCATTTTGTTTGGGTAACGTCATTAAGCAAGGATCTGAAGATAAATATCAAACATGCTAAATCAGTGGGTTAATTTCATACGCCGTGTTCCGTAATAATGTCCTTTCAGAGAGCAGGTGACATTAACTAGCTTAGGTGGCCGTTTCGTTATTTGATGGTAGAAAACAGGACTTCAGGGAGGTTATGTGATTTATTTAGCTGTCTCTCAGCAGCTTGGTAAGAAAAGAACTCTGGTTCCTAACCAGGCCTGTGATCTTCAGGTGAAGTCTTGTGGTCCAAGAAGCAAGGCCTGCTCCCTGTGTTTCGTTCTGGAGACTCTGACTGTGAAAATGTCACCCATGACTTACCAGGAGATAGTTCTGCATACTGACTCATCATCAGAATATGCTCTGGGTCTTTCATGTGGCGCTCAAAGCCTTAAAACTTATAAACCAAACCAAAAGAAAGACTCCTGTTATCCAGGAAAGCCCCTCTCTCGCTTAGAAAAATAATTCATGATAAGAACACAAAAGTATGTGAATGGTAACTGAAAAGCCATTACTTCCTTCTAAAAAACCACTAGGATTTGCATAAACCACTTGACTGTCTGGTAAATGATTATGATCATCTGCTCTGTCAGTCCCTGGGGACTTTTAACATTAGGTTATTTGTATTTTTGTAGAAAAGGGAAGTTCTAAATTTGAAGATTGGTGTTGTTAAACTCTTGCAATAATGACAGTTTGTGAAAGCAGATATCTCGAAGGTCTTAAAAAGTCAATGAAAACATGACCTCTTTTCTTCTGCGTTGTAATAACCACATGATAAAGTTAAAGGCCTGGAAGGATTTTGACTTTGTGCTGGCACAGCCTATTCATTGTTTGCCTTTGGTACCATCAAGCTGTGTTAAGAGGAAATACTCACGATATACCAATTTGAGAAATGGAAAGGAAATTTAAAGTGTCATACTTAAAGCATTCATGAGAGGACATTTAGAGAGCAGTAGTAACAGCCTGGCAGTTTCTCTTTGGTGTTTATTTGCTAAAGTAGATTACAGGAGATGGTTTGAGGAAGAGATTGACTTAATACGCTGTCGGGATTTGGCTGGGTTCCAATTTTGCAAAAGCAGATTGACACTGAAATTCTTGTAATTAAGTACATGTCCTACTGATAGTGAAATAAAGGCCACCTTTCCATTTATTGTGATTTACTGTGTAGCTATTGCAAGCATTATTTAGTGAGTTTTGCATTGCCGAAGGCTGGCGGAGTTACCGGTAAATTTGCATAAGTCATAACTGATGCTGTTTTGTCTATTTCATTTTTCAGGTGCAACTTCTTTGAACAGTTTTTCTCATTTTTAAGTTGGTACCCAGCTATACTTTTAATTTTCACTCAGTCCTCTACAACACACCATGTCATCTGGAGTTGTGATAACAACTTTTTATAAATGAGGGAAAACTGAGGTCTAGAGAGGTCTCGTAACTCGTGACTTGCTCAGTGCTGCCCGGTAAGTGGAAGAGCTAGGCTATGACCGTACAGGCTACATCTGTACATTCCAAAGTGGCGATATGTCCGGATAGCTTATTAAGTGAAATCTGTGAAGAGTAACATATAGAATATGGTCCCATTAAAAAAAAATTTCTGTCATTCTCTATAAACATTATGGAGAAAGATTTAGAAATATATTCACTAAACTCCTGGTAGCTTTACCTCTGATGGTTGAGAATGGGCAGGGTCAGGAGATAATGAAGGGTGTCTTCACATTTTTATCTTATACGCCTGTGTTATTTGTATTTCTAAAATGATGGATAAATACATAAAGGAGAAGTAGGAGAAAGCGTTAACAGAAAAACAGAATTTTACTCTTGTTTCAGAAAAATAGAAGGCAGCGTGGTGCTCTTTCTTCCTGGAGAAACCCCTCCTTTATATTAGATTGATTCCCACATATTATACTGGCCACTCAGGCAGTAATTACTCCTCTGTAGATAGTCCGTTTTCTCAGAACTATGTAAGAATAATATTTTATACAGAAAAGATGGAGTTCTACAAGGTGAAATGTGAAAACAAAGTTCAAACCGCGTGCAGATTGAGGCACGGTGTCTCAGGTGAAAGGGTTCAGTTAGCAGTGTGCAAAGTGAAGTGGCCACCAGCGATGGGAATGTGATCTTGGCCATATGGCAGGAGGGCGATACTGAGAATGCAAGACTTAGTCCACTCTCTCTGTATCAGGACTGCCTCTGGAGTCTTCAGTTCTGGATGGCAATGTGGAATCTTTGTCCGGTAGATTTATCAGGGGAGTAAAGGACTTAAAACCACATCATGTAAGGCACACGTGAAATAATTGGGTGAGTGTGGTTGGGTGTTTTGCCACCTCCTAGCAATATTCGGTCACTGTACCTGCTCAGATGAGGAATGTTAGCTCCATACGGATTGCCTGTCAGCCCTTGGGATACAAAAATGAAAAGATGTGAACCATGCCTTTCATGGGCTCTGAATCTAGTAGAGGACAAGAAATATATACAACTATTTCCAATGCCGCATAACAAAAGTAACATTTGGTGCAGAGGCAGCACAGAGGAATGATGATTAACTTCCTGCAGTGGTAGGAGATAGGGAGGGTAAAGCCTTCAGAGAGAAATGAATTCTGAGCTGGGTTTTGCAAGAGAAATTTTCTTCAATGAATGACATGAGAAGATTGACAAAGGACACTACGGCCTTGTTCAAATGTTTGAAAGGATGTCATGTACAAGAAGGTTTGAAATTATTCAGTACACCCTCTGGGGCACAGGAACCAGTTAAGGGAGCATAGAAGGAGACGGATTTAGGCTCAATTTTAGAATTTTTTTTTTTTTTTTATTGGCTGGCGCTGAGTTTGAACCTGCCACCTCCGGCATTTGGAGCCAGTGCCCTACTCCTTTGAGCCACAGGCGCCACCCCAATTTTAGAACTTTTTAATAGAGCTATCCAAAGTCTTCTTTGGAAGGTTTGGAGTCCCCAGTCCCTGGACGTGTTCAAGTACAGGCACGCCGACTGTTTATCAGCAGTAGTAAGGAGAGAGGAGGTCACACAGTGGATGTGAAATGTGGTGAAATGCTGAAAGGCATGGCTTCTAGGATTAGATTCCCAAGACCCGGCACTCGGACACACCGGCTTTGTAACCTTAGCTAGGATTGTTATTATAAGAGGAACAGCTTCTGGTACACAGTAACTTCTAAATAAGTTGCTAATAAATATTAGCTATTGTTGTCACTGGATGGGCAGTGATTAAAGTTCTTACCTTGAAAGATTTGGAATTTCTGATTCTGTACTTGGGAGACAGTATTATTGTGAGTTAAGAAGATGGTATTGAGGAAACTGAAGCAAAAGTGAAATTGTGATAATTAACAGTTCAGCAGCGAGGTATTATTTATGAGTAAAACCGGTCTCTTGCACTCGAGACCATGGCTCTAGTAATTGTCTTGTTCCAGGGTATTTTCAGAGGGGCTCGTACTGCAGAACTCGCTCCAGCTCGTGTTTTTCTTTCTCTTCCAGATAAAGAGGTCTCGTGAATAGGAATGCCTGCCCCAGTGTCAGGATTGGAGAGAATGGATAAAGATAGACTAATTGAAGAAGTCCTGGATAGGTTTGTTAATTGTCATGAGCAAACATATGAAGAATTTCTGAGCACTTTTACTCATCTTTCAAAAGGTAACATGGAGAAGTAAACTTCCTGCAACAGTAGAGAGAAAGAATTTGGTTATAAGTTTATGTCTTTGCTGCCTTTTCAGAAGGACTCATGAGCATTCATTCCGTTCCTTTGATCAGGTAATTCTTACTAGGCCTTGTGACTGATGCACGTAAATACTGGTGCCTGCATACAGCCAAGAGTTGTTTTATGGAGTCAGAGCCATTGAATTGGATAACTAAAAATGACCTGAGAAATCCTTCAGTATAATACTTTATTGTATTTTTTTAAAGAAAGGCAAATACAAAGAGTGGAGGTCGTTAGAAGCATATTTAAGACTTAAAAAATACAGCGTAGTATAAGCTCTGAACTTATACTCCACACACGTTTGGATCCTGGAATAACTACTTACTTGCTATGTGACCTTCAGGTGGTGGCTGTCGAGTAAGGGGGATGATAATAATACTTTGCTCAAAGGTTGATGAAGGTTGTGTTAGTCTATTTTGTGTTGCTGTAAAGCAGTGGCTCTCAACCTTCCTAATGCCGTGACCCTTTGATATAGTTCCTCATGTTGTGGTGACCCCCAACCATAAAATTATTTTTGTTGCTACTTCACAACTGTAATTGTGCTACTGTTATGAATCGTAAGGTAAATATCCGATATGCAGGATGGTCTTAGGTGACCCCAAATGGGTCGCGACCCACAGGTGGAGAACCGCTGCTGTAAAGGAATATGTAAGACTGGGTAATTTATAAAGAAAGGAGGTTTATTTGGCTCACAGTTCTGCAGACTGTACAAGCATGGCACCACGATGTGCATCTGGTGAGGGCATCATGGAGCTTCCCATGGAGGCAGAAGACAAAAGGGAAATAGGTGTGTCACGTGATGAAAGAAGGAGCAAGGGGGGGATGCCTGTGTTCTTTTCAACAACTAGCTTACATGAACTAATGGAGTGAGAACTTGCTCGTTGCCACAGGGAGCGAATGCCCCTGGCCATTCATTCACTGTCACGGGCTCCAAGCCATCCAAGAGGGATCTTTCCCTATGACCCAAATACCTGCCACCAGGCCCCATTTTCAACACTGAAGATTGAATTTCAGCATGAGATTTGGAGAGGCCAAACATCCAAACTATGCCTACGGTTACTTGAAATAATCCATGTACAACTTAGCATGGTGACCAACCCACAATAAATACCGAATGCTAGCTGTTGTCACTGTTGTGATGCCACTGCTGTCATGGTTTCTGTAGAATAGAAACCACCCTTTAGACCAGAGGTGATGAGCGAAAGCCAACCAGATGTTGTGTTGTGTGTTTTATTATGTTTTGTTTGCCTCTTACAATGTTATTGAAGCAACATTCAAAAGTTGGGGAATTTTATATAAAAATCTTGATTAGTGTATTTTTTCCCCTTGGATCAAGCCAGAAAGTGTCCTATTTTCCTCCTGGCAGCCTCCGCTGGAGTGCGGGAGCCCTGGCCCTGTGAGCACCCTGGTTTGTCCTGCTCTTTGCCTCACATAGTCTAAAAATGTGTGCATACGTCGTCTGCTTCATTCACTTCAGTGGCTCCTGTGGGCGTTTGAGTCCTGGGCTCTGCTTTGGATCGCCATCAGCTGGCTTTCCACCGTGGTCCTTTTGGGGTCATCCACCCACATTTTCTAAACTTGGTTTGCTACCTAGTTGCACATTAGATTCTCCCCAGAAGCTTTAGACCACATTAATACCAGAGCCCTTTCTAAAGCTCTGCTGGGACCAAGGAATCTGTATTTTCTTAAAGCTTCTCTGGTTTATTCTGAGGTCATGATACTATTTAAGATGCTTGACTTTGTGATATTAAGTCATCACTCACGTGCCCTAAACGAATGTAAAAGACGGGTCCTTATAATGAGGAAAAGGAAAGAAGTGATTCTAACTTGTTTCTTTTATCGTTAAAGATAGAATATCCTAGACAACTGGTTTACACTTAAGTGTGTTTATACTTAAAGCTATAGAGGATTTAGGGAATAGCTAGATGACTTTGGGGCTGTCTCTATTGGACTGTTTTTTTTTTTTTGAGACGGAGCCTCAAGCTATCCTCCTGGGTAGAGTGCCATGGCTTCACTGCTCACAGCAACCTCCAACTCCTGGGCTCAAGCGAGTCTCCTGCCTCAGCCTCCCAAGTGGCTGGGACTACAGGCGCCCGCCACAACGCCTGGCCATTTTTTGGTTGCAGCCGTCATTGTTGTTTGGCGGGCCCGGGCTGGGGATTCGAACCCGCCACCTTAGGTGTATGTGCCTTAGCTGCTTGAGCCACAGGTGCTGAGCCTATTGGACTGTTTTGACATGATATGTAGATCAAATTAACCTTGAAAATGGCCAAGTCATCTTTTAGTTTTATCTATGTGCCTGGGTTTAGGAAGATTCTTACTTTCTCTGCCTAATGATTTAGTTCCCGTTTTCTCCAAATGTGACAGCGTTAATAGCTGGGGTGGTGGTGGAAACAGGGTAAAACTGGCATAAGTAGTGGATTTTGATGTGCCAATGACATTTTGATGATCCACATTATTTTGGAAATTATTGGGAAGGCTGATTTTATTTTTATGCCCTCAAAGAGTAAAAACTTTTTGCAAGGACTTTGATATTTTAAGGGGGTTATAATATATTTGTTTTTGTGATAAAGGGTCTATTCTGTTTTCAAATTCCAGTATAATCATTGTGTGCTGAGAAAGACTCTATTGCAGATGTGGTGACTTCATTTGGAGTTCAGTTTTGGGCTCCAAATTGAGCTGAAATAAATGATGATGCAAGTCACATAAACTGCATCCCCAAGCATACTAGTTGTTTTTTCCTTTCAAAATATCCCTAGGCGGCAGTTCACATTATAAACTAATGACCTGAAAAAATTCCTCTTAAAGCACAAAAGAATTGTTGAGTGCAGAAATGTGTCTTAAGTCGCTAAGTGTCTTTTTTCCCTCCCCTAAAACATTTAGATACCTTCTGAAAAACCCAATAGGACTTAGGGGCAGTGCTAGAGTTGAGTGATAGCTGGCAAAGTTCATCAAGGTACCTATATGGTTAGTTCTTTTTAAGAAAGACATGAAAGCTACTTCTTCAAAGTTTCCATTTCTCCTCTTCTTTCTAGACCCTTCGTTTGTGTGAACGTGTGTAGTTGCTTTGCTGATATACAGCGAGTCTTTTTGATTGAAATGTTTATCAGCGCGCATACTTATGTACATTTATAAGTAAGTTTAATCTCTCAAGTCCATTACTGTTTCCACTGATAGACTGCTCTATTTATTTTTATAATAGTTATATACCCGAATGCTTATGGGATTCATGTTCTTTCCAAGAGTTTTAAAAGGGTCAGTAATTCTATTAAAATTTTTTTCCCTGGAAAAAATTAAATTATACCCTGATTGAAAGAAATCTCACATTACTGCTTCAGACTCTTGAAAAACAGTTGGAGACTGTTAATATTGCCGGATAATTCTCACTACAGTACATTTATATTGATCACATTTTTCAGTTTTTTTTTCTTTTTAAAAGCAACTATTTATTTTGAAACCATGATGCATATTTGATAATACATACAGTATTCTATCATAGTATTCAAAGAGACATATTAATTATTAGCTTTAAACAGTTACAATTGAATTCTCACGAGTGTCTTCAGTTGAAGAAGTAATTCAAGTTGTAAGATATATATTTGAAAATCAGCATGCAGGTATTTTTCCTTATTGGTGAAAACATTATTTTATTGTTGACATTATTAGAGGTAAAGATTTGCAGCTAAGTCAATCTCTTGTATCTTAGTTTCTTTGCACATATAGTTTTATAGGATGTTCTAGGGTGTCTGTCTGAAGGGGACAAAGGCTTCTTTCACACCTGTCGTACTTCTGTCTCCTGTTAGGTTATAAAACACAGATGTGGCTACTTACATTTGATGTTGAATTAATTCATTCATCCATTAATTCTGTGAGTATCTCATTATGGTCTAGGTAACATTTTAGTTGCCGAGGATTCAAAAATAAATAAGATATAGTTTGTGTTCTCAAGCACTTGTAGTCCAGTGGGAGAGATAAATAAGCAAGCAGGAAATCGCACGAATGCAGGATAAGTACCACAGTGGAGAGAAGCACAGAGAGTCCCCGTGGAAGCTCGTGGGAGGGCCCCCAGACAGCAGCCTGAGGGAGGGCAGTGAAGTCTACCCGCTGAAGTGAGCCTGGAAGGTCCACTAAACCCAGACTCGTCTTAGGCCCTGCGACATTACATAGAGCCCAGGAAGGATGGACTGAAACGAGCTGAAATTACAGACGTGTGGTCCTTTTGAGGCATGGTTCCATTGATTTTAGTACTGATCCTCACACACACACCCTCTCCTTTAAACAGTAAGTCTTCAAGATGAAGATGTAGCCTTGCTTTAATAAGGTTTAGAGTTACTTCTAAATTCTCAAAAGAAAAAGGCAATCTCTTTTATTTTCCTTGCACACCAGGATCACCACGTGATTCACTTCGGGAAGCATTTGCTCCCCCCTTTTACAGTGCTAGTTTCATTGCTCCTGTTGCTGTCAAACAGAAAAGGTGTAATTGAGTAGCCAGTGACTAGAAATTGACATTAAATCTTTTCAAGTCCATTTTTGTTACATATGGTAACTGTGGGGAGTCACGGTAGTTATTCCCAGTTTTCTCTTTTTTACATGCTTTACACACTTGCTGTTACCATTCTGATTGTGTGCTTTAGGGTCAATGATTAATTTCCGTGAAAGTTTTCTCTCTGACCAACTATTCAACTTAAAAGAGTTTGGAAATTGAAATGAATCTGCTGTGATTTTATTATTCACTCTTAAATAAGTCTTTGTTTTGCAGTCTCTCATTTTACTCTGAAAATATTTAAGATCCAGTTTCCCCCGTCAATCTATAACAGCTTTGAGTCCCTGACATTATTTGTCTACTTTAACCTGTTTTCATCAGTTTAAAACAAAGATTTTATTTCAGATTTTGATGTGTACTTTCATTTTCTAATTTTCTTTTTTTTAATTTCTT